TATTTGCTGCCTGCATAAAATACCGTAGTATTTATACCTTTTTCGAGTATCTTATATTTTTGGCTTAATTCTTTAATGACATGAAAAGTGTTTTCTTGGAGTGATTGAAAATCATGAATTTCAGTTCATGAGCGATTCATTCTGTCTCATGACAGTTTCAATGTTATCTTTAATATGAAATTTTGACATATGCGTATACTATCTCTATCTATAAAAGGCAGGATGTGTGTGTGTGTGTGTGTGTGTGTGTGTGTGTGTGTGTGTGTGTGTGTGTGAATGCACGGCCGCAATTTTCGACGGATTTGTACCAAAATTTACATGCACATGCTTCAAGTTAGCGCGAGGTCAAGACCGACTTTGCATTTCCAAACTCACATCGATAGTGGAAATGATCGATTTTTTTCATGCTTCTACGGCAGTTTTCATGTAGTTTGCGGCCATTTTCTACTGACCAGAGTGAGAGCCTATAGCTGGCTGCCACGAATAGGCAGGAAGATTCTATTGGCCAGCGTGAGAGCCAACAGCTGACTGACACGAACGTTAACTAGTATCCTAGCATGCAAAAAAAATCGATAGCTGCATTCGTCACAAGTGGAGAAAAATTTAAATCTGCATGGCACTTTACCCCAATTTGCTCATTCGCTTTCGTAAATTCAACGTTGATTCTGATTCCGCAGAACTGGGTTGGGTGTGAAAAAGTATTTGTTGTTAACATTCTTTTTTCATTCGGTTTTTCCAGTTACGAGTCCTTTTTTAAAGCTGATCGTTTTGTGTTCATTTTGTTTAGTTCTTTTTTCATGACAGATTTAATGTTTAGTAGAGAGCTTAGAAAAAAATCGCAGTGTGAGATAGGCAAGAAGTAAGGCAAGTAGCACCATCAGCACGGAAAAGGGCACTCCTTTAAAGGCAAGGAAGGGCAAAAATATTTTATGTCATGTGATAACGATTGCTGTATGAGTCGTAGGATTTTTGAATCAAGCACGGGCAACGCCGGGCCATGCTGCTGTTTATGATAAAACGCATTAAGACTCTATTACGTTAAAATGATAAGACATAAGTCTAGTTTCCAAGCTATGATGGCGCTTTCTACTTTGATTATTTATGCGATATTGGCGTGGTACATTCTTGCTGGCTTCCATTTTCCCCCATGCACATGTTTGCAACTCACTAAATTGTGTTTAATAAATTTCAGGTTATTATTTGTTTCGCCCACTGTTTGAAGGAATAACGCTCGCTTCAAATGTAAAATGTTAATGCGAGAAAATAAGCAAATTCTTGTTTTGCCCTCTCTTTCTCACACGGTCCCTCTCTCTCTCTCTCTCTGTCTCTCTTATACACACACACAACACACACACACTATCTATCTATCTGTCTCAATCTGTTCATACTATCTATCTCAATCTGTACATAATATCTATTTAGCTATCTAGCTATTTATCTCAACCTTTTCATACTATCTCAATCTGTACATACTATCTATCTATGTATTTATCTCAACCTCTTCATACTGTCTCTCTATCTATCTACCTATCTCAATCTGTTCATATTATCTATCTATTTCGACCTGTTCATACTATCTATCTATCTATATATATATATATATATATATATATATATATATATATATATATATATATTAATCTCTTCATATATATTTCTGTCTAGTTCCCTAGCTCATTGTTAATTTTTTGCACTTTCTTATTTTTTGATCCAAACTCCTGGTGAGTTTGCTTAGCACTAGTGCTGTTGGCAAAGGCATGAATCCATTTCCCTAGATAAATCTATAGGACAAATTGGGTTCGTTAATCTTGCAGTGCAATCGACATAAGAGAAGGATAACAGTGGGGACAGTAACAGGGTAAATACCACATTACAACTCCTAAGTACAGTCATATCAATATTCTGCTTCTACTTGTTGTGCCCCTTCAGGAGGTCCATGGTTCTCCACAACCTCCAGTTCCTCGTAGCCCGTAACAGTGTTTCTCACTTAGACAAGGTTACCACCACTCTTACTCCGCTACCTACGCACAGAAGATCATTAGGTATGCGTTCCACTGCGTTTTCTTTGTCCTTTTTGCCATCAATCTGTCTTGTGAGTATCAAATTCTCCAAGTGTTTCTTCCTCCTTATGCATCCAAGAAATTACATCTGTCAGTTTCTTATTTTGAGTATATGTGTTCTTTTCGTTACAAGTTTCTTTCAGACTTTTTCGTTGCTTAGTAGCTGAGACCATGGAATTATCATTATATTTCTACAGAACAATATTTCTGTTCGTTTCAAGTTTCTCTTCATTTGCGGTGAGATTGTCAAGCATTCACTTACATACAAGAGGACTCAAACCATAATACAATTCAGCACATTTTCTTTTCATTTGTTTTTTGTCATTTTTTTTTAATGCATTTTTGTTAAACAGTGGCAACTTCAGATTTCGATGTCGTATTCATCTATTAAAATAAGTCTCATATATTTAAAATACCATATCAATAGAAAGATGATAAGCAAATGGAAACTGTGGATATCTACAATTGTTTAGTTCCTAAAAAAGAAACTGAATTTACTTTCTTCTTCAAGCCTATTTTTGTTGCTAAGTATTGATGTTGCTACAAAAAATTAAGCAAATAAACATATATTCATACGTTGGTATTTTCTATTATTTTCATCCAATCCCAGGCACAAGAACCACGGATGTTAGAGTAACTACGAATGAGGTAACGACGTAAAGGGAAAGTGATATATATATATATATATATATATATATATATATATATATATATATATATATATGATTATGTAGGATAAATAGCTGCTGAACAAAGACTTGAAGCTTGTAGTAGTCGGGGAAATATAATTTCATTAGTATGTTCCATAGCGTGACAATTCTGGGAAAGAAAACTAGCCTGAACACAATTTACTATCCGCCAAGAACTATAGACACATACACATACACACACACACACACACATATATATATATATATATATATATATATATATATATATATACCGTCATCCACAGACAGACTGTTTCGCTGTTTCACAGCTCATCAGTGTGGATAGACATCCGGTTGCCTCCAGCTGGGGTCGAAACCCGACTGAACTGGTGTCAGTCGGAGATTCTAACCGATAAGTCATCGGGGGGGAAAGTGGATTTTTAGCGTGTTTATCTTTATAAACACGCCCAGTGACCGGGAGTGACTCAATTCGCATTAGCGAAGAGTCTCGCTATATAGCTATAATAGTCACTGTTTACCAACCCACATCTCCTCCCCAGAGAGCTCAACTGAAATTAATTTTTCAGGAGTCAATATATAGTTTATATATATATATAAACCTAGTGATCCAGACAAACCTACCCAGGTTTCACCTAAGCGGATCGTCAGGAAAGCTATATATATATATATATATATATATATATATATATATATAGTCCTCGTATATGCGCAAACGAGAGTGTAGCCTAATGTAAAGCATGTGTTTATTATATTATCTGATATTTAATTTTTCGTCCGTCCTGGTCGATTCACTTAAGCCATCGCTTCTTCGTTAACCAAATAGATCGAACATTCAAAAATATGAGTTTTCACCCCTCCTCCCACAAAAAAATCATCCGGGATAATTAGAGCGATAATGCATTTACAGCAAGCAATATTCGTAACTTAAGTAGTCAATATTAAGAAATAGGGCATTAATATTAATAAGGGATATTTAATATTTACTTATCTGTCCCTACTCTGAGTTTAACAGAAATTATATCCACTCTTCAGGAAGCCACTGTGAAACTCAAATTAGCGATTTTAATTTTACAGGTAAAAAATATATATAGGTAAAAATCGGTCGGTAAGTAATCCAAGTAGATCCTAACAATATAATATATTAAATGTGAACGACAAAAGTGAGCTCAATATATTTATTACAGAGCGTATAAATGAATTACATCAAATGAAACTCAACTGTACCCCATTTTAATGGCCATTTTGACCCCAGGTTAATCTCCCTGAGATTTTTTCAGCAAAAACGTTTGTTAAAAATTGAATCATATTTTTAACAAACGTTTTAGCATTGATGTCCCAGGGAGATTATACCAGTGTGGGTTGGAAAATGGCCAATTAAAATGGGGTACAATTATTTTCTTTTTTATTTAATTCACACACACACACACACACACACACACACACACACACATAAATATATATATATATATATATAGAGAGAGAGAGAGAGATAGATAGATAGATAGATAGATAGATAGATAGATAGATAGATGATGTTAAAAAAAGATTATCCACATATGCGTTTTATGTAGATAAAGCATGCCGATGAAAGAAATTCGCGACATAAAAACAACAACAATAATAATAATAATGATAACAAAATATTAATAGGCCTCTAGATAAAATAGAGACATTTTGATAAAATATGTTAAAATTCGAAATTTCGGACACCCCCCGTGTCCTTTCTCAACGAGAAATAATCAATGAAGTTAAACTTTTGGTGTTGACTTTTTTTTTTTATGCATATGTTCCTTACTGATAAAATCTATTATTTGGGGGCTAATTGTTTTCCAAGCTTCTTGTGAAACTGCATTCATTGCGTATGCCTAAATTCCTATTTAAACCTAGTATGTTTAATATTTTCTGTTATTATTATTATTCACGTTTATATATATATATATATATATATATTTATATAAATATATATATATATATATATATATATATATATATATATAATTGATGCATTGATTCTTTATCTACAGTTTATCAACTGTTTGCAAGTTATTTAAAGCCAGAAAATATTTTTAGATTCTAAGAATTTTTTAAAATATTAATGGTTTAGTAACACGTTTTACTAACTGACCTGAAGCCGGAAGAAGATGCGGTGGGTCAATACCTTTCTCAAGGGTACTCAAGCGTAAGGCAATAAAATGAACCCAACTGCTGTCTGTTGGAACTGAGTTTCCAATTAAAATTCCGAACCATTAGACCACTGTACATCCAGAGTTACTGCACCTGATATTCTCAAGCGGTCATCCATCTAGGTAGTGACCCGGATTGACGATGCTTAACTTCAGTGATCTTACGGGAATCGGTGTTTCAATATGATGTGATTGATATATATATATATATATATATATATATATATATATATATATATATATATATATATATATATATATATATATATATATATATATATATATATATATATATATATATATATATATATATATATATATATATATACAGAAAGAGAGAGAGAGAAACGACTGTGTGAGAGAGAGAGATTTACTGCTAAACAAGAATTTGCTTATTTTCTCGCACTAACGTTTTGCATTTGAAGCGAGCGTTATTCCTGCAAACAGTGGGCGAAACAAATAATAACCTGAAATTTATTAAACACCATTTAGAGAGAAAAAGTGAATGCCAGCAAGATTGTACCGCGCCAACATCGCATAAATAATCAAAGTGGAAAGAGCCATCATGGCTTGGAAACTAGATTTTCCACGTAAATGACAAGGAAGGCATATGTCTTATTTTAACGTAATAGAGTCTTAATGCCGGTTATCATAAATAGTACACCCATATGTCAAAAATTCATTAAAGATAACGTAGAGAGCTTAGAAAAAATCGCAGTGTGAGATAGGCAAGAAGTAAGGCAAGTAGCACCATCAGCACGGAAAAGGGCACTCCTTTAAAGGCAAGGAAGGGCAAAAATATTTTATGTCATGTGATAACGATTGCTGTATGAGTCGTAGGATTTTTGAATCAAGCACGGGCAACGCCGGGCCATGCTGCTAGTTTATGATAAAACGCATTAAGACTCTATTACGTTAAAATGATAAGACATAAGTCTAGTTTCCAAGCTATGATGGCGCTTTCTACTTTGATTATTTATGCGATATTGGCGTGGTACATTCTTGCTGGCTTCCATTTTCCCCCGTGCACATGTTTGCAACTCACTAAATTGTGTTTAATAAATTTCAGGTTATTATTTGTTTCGCCCACTGTTTGAAGGAATAACGCTCGCTTCAAATGTAAAATGTTAATGCGAGAAAATAAGCAAATTCTTGTTTTGCCCTCTCTTTCTCACACGGTCCCTCTCTCTCTCTCTCTGTCTCTCTCTCTTATACACACAACAATAACACACACACTATCTATCTATCTGTCTCAATCTGTTCATACTATCTATCTCAATCTGTACATAATATCTATTTAGCTATCTAGCTATTTATCTCAACCTTTTCATACTATCTCAATCTGTACATACTATCTATCTATGTATTTATCTCAACCTCTTCATACTGTCTCTCTCTATCTATCTACCTATCTCAATCTGTTCATATTATCTATCTATTTCGACCTGTTCATACTATCTATCTATCTATCTATATATATATATATATATATATATATATATATATATATATATATATTAATCTCTTTCATATATATCTGTCTAGTTCCCTAGCTCATTGTTAATTTTTTGCACTTTCTTATTTTTGATCCAAACTCCTGGTGAGTTTGCTTAGCACTAGTGCTGTTGGCAAAGGCATGAATCCATTTCCCCTAGATAAATCTATAGGACAAATTGGGTTTCGTTAATCTTGCAGTGCAATCGACATAAGAGAAGGATAACAGTGGGGACAGTAACAGGGTAAATACCACATTACAACTCCTAAGTACAGTCATATCAATATTCTGCTTCTACTTGTTGTGCCCCTTCAGGAGGTCCATGGTTCTCCACAACCTCCAGTTCCTCGTAGCCCGTAACAGTGTTTCTCACTTGACAAGGTTACCACCACTCTTACTCCGCTACCTACGCACAGAAGATCATTAGGTATGCGTTCCACTGCGTTTTTCTTTGTCCTTTTTGCCATCAATCTGTCTTGTGAGTATCAAATTCTCAAGTGTTTCTTCCTCCTTATGCATCCAAGAAATTACATCTGTCAGTTTCTTATTTTGAGTATATATGTTCTTTTCGTTACAAGTTTCTTTCAGACTTTTTTTTGCTTAGTAGCTGAGACCATGGAATTATCATTATATTTCTACAGAACAATATTTCTGTTCGTTTCAAGTTTCTCTTCATTTGCGGTGAGATTGTCAAGCATTCACTTACATACAAGAGGACTCAAACCATAATACAATTCAGCACATTTTCTTTTCATTTGTTTTTGTCATTTTTTTTTTAATGCATTTTTTGTTAAACAGTGGCAACTTCAGATTTCGATGTCGTATTCATCTATTAAAATAAGTCTCATATATTTAAAATACCATATCAATAGAAAGATGATAAGCAAATGGAAACTGTGGATATCTACAATTGTTTAGTTCCTAAAAAGAAACTGAATTTACTTTCTTCTTCAAGCCTATTTTGTTGCTAAGTATTGATGTTGCTACAAAAAAATTAAGCAAATAAACATATATTCATACGTTGGTATTTTTCTATTATTTTTCATCCAATCCCAGGCACAAGAACCACGGATGTTAGAGTAACTACGAATGAGGTAACGACGTAAAGGGAAATATATATATATATATATATATATATATATATATATATATATATATATATATATATATATATATATATATATCATGATTATGTAGGATAAATAGCTGCTGAACAAAGACTTGAAGCTTGTAGTAGTCAGGGAAATATAATTTCGCCAGTATGTTCCATAGCGTGACAATTCTGGGAAAGAAACTGCCTGAACACAATTTACTATCCGCCAAGAACTATAGACACATACACTCACACACACACACACACACACACACATATATATATATATATATATATATATATATATATATACCGTCATCCACAGACAGACTGTTTCGCTGTTTCACAGCTCATCAGTGTGGATAGACATCCGGTTGCCTCCAGCTAGGGTCGAAACCCGACTGAACTGGTGTCAGTCGGAGATTCTAACCATTAAGTCATCGGGAGGGGGGAAAGTGGATTTTTAGCGTGTTTATCTTTATAAACACGCCCAGTGACCGGGAGTGACTCAATTCGCATTAGCGAAGAGTCTCATTATATAGCTATAATAGTCACTGTTTACCAACCCACATCTCCTCCCCCAGAGCTCAACTGAAATTAATTTTCAGGAGTCAATATATAGTTTATATATATATAAACCTAGTGATCCAGACAAACCTACCCAGGTTTCACCTAAGCGGATCGTCAGGGAAAGCTATATATATATATATATATATATATATATATATATATAGTCCTCGTATATGCAAACGAGAGTGTAGCCTAATGTAAAGCATGTGTTTATTATATTATCTGATATTTAATTTTTCGTCCGTCCTGGTCGATTCACTTAAGCCATCGCTTCTTCGTTAACCAAATAGATCGAACATTCAAAATATGAGTTTCACCCCACTCCTCCCACAAAAATGTCATCCGGGATAATTAGAGCGATAATGCATTTACAGCAAGCAATATTCGTAACTTAAGTAGTCAATATTAAGAAATAGGGCATTAATATTAATAAGGGATATTTAATATTTACTTATCTGTCCCTACTCTGAGTTTAACAGAAATTATATCCACTCTTCAGGAAGCCACTGTGAAACTCAAATTAGCGATTTTTAATTTTACAGGTAAAAATATATATAGGTAAAAATCGGTCGGTAAGTAATCCAAGTAGATCCTAACAATATAATATATTAAATGTGAACGACAAAAGTGAGCTCAATATATTTATTACAGAGCGTATAAATGAATTACATCAAAATGAAACTCAACTGTACCCCATTTTAATGGCCATTTTGACCCCCGGGTTAATCTCCCTGGAGATTTTCAACGCAAAACGTTTGTTAAAAATTGAATCATATTTTAACAAACGTTTTAGCATTGACAAGCCCCAGGGAGATTATACCAGTGTGGGTTGGAAAATGGCCAATTAAAATGGGGTACAATTTATTTTCTTTTTTATTTAATTCACACACACACACACACACACACACACACACACACATAAATATATATATATATATATAGAGAGAGAGAGATAGATAGATAGATAGATAGATAGATAGATAGATAGATAGATAGATGATGTTAAAAAAGATTATCCACATATGCGTTTTATGTAGATAAAGCATGCCGATGAAAGAAATTCGCGACATAAAAACAACAACAACAATAATAATAATAATGATAAAAAATATTAATAGGCCTCTAGATAAAATAGAGACATTTTGATAAAATATGTTAAAATTCAAATTTTCGGACACCCCTGTGTCCTTTCTCAACGAGAAATAATCAATGAAGTTAAACTTTTTGGTGTTGACTTTTTTATGCATATGTTCCTTACTGATAAAAATCTATTATTTGGGGCTAATTGTTTTCCAAGCTTCTTGTGGAAACTGCATTCATTGCGTATGCCTAAATTCCTATTTAAACCTAGTATGTTTAATATTTTCTGTTATTATTATTATTCACGTTTATATATATATATATATATATATATTTATATAAATATATATATATATATATATATATATATATATATATAATTGATGCATTGATTCTTTATCTACAGTTTATCAACTGTTTGCAAGTTATTTAAAAGCCAGAAAATATTTTTTTAGATTCTAAGAATTTTTAAAATATTAATGGTTTAGTAATACGTTTTACTAACTGACCCGAAGCCGGAAGAAGATGCGGTGGGTCAATACCTTTCTCAAAAGGGTACTCAAGCGTAAGGCAATAAAATGAACCTAACTGCTGTCTGTTGGAACTGAGTTTCAATTAAAAATTCCGAACCATTAGACCACTGTACATCCAGAGTTACTGCACTGATATTCTCAAGCGGTCATCCATCTAGGTAGTGACCCGATTGACGATGCTTAACTTCAGTGATCTTACGGAATCGGTGTTTCAATATGATGTGATTGTAGAATATATATATATATATATATATATATATATATATATATATATATATATATATATATATATATATATATATATATACTGATATATATATATATATATATATATATATATATATATATATATATACAGAAAGAGAGAGAGAGAACGACTGTGTGAGAGAGAGAGATTTACTGCTAAACAAG